TTTTTAAATAAATTCTTATATTTAAATATAATAATAGTTACCAAATATATAAAAAATAAAAACCATACTAAACAGAATGATTTTTTTTTTTGTTTAATCAAAAGTAATCAAATTTCTTAATAATAATGAAAGATATTGCATCAGTACAATTCCTATGAATATGAAACTATACTTATAGTGTGAATAAAGATGATTTTTCCTATAATATATATGAAATATTTGTTGGTTTAGACCTACCCCTTCTATGTGGTGACATGGCCAAATACTTGTTGGACTAAATCCACACTTATTAAGCCTACTTCAAGCCATATTCTGCAGTATTTTGTAAATTTGGTACCATGTATAGTTTGCAACTTTGTTCGATCCACAAAAGTTCATCATTGGATTGAGCTAGAATTTTGTCTGGATAATAATGAGATATTGATTTACATTTGAAGTTTTGTAAGTTTTAATTTTGTACTCAAAACAATAGCTTGCTTTTTGTAGTTGCCTTTCTTTGTAATCTCAGTTTTTTTGTCAACTTGTAATCTATTATTACTCTTGTTTGGTGCTATTTTTGTGCCTTTTTAAAAGAAAATATTGTGTACTCGTTTTTATTATAGTTGAGCTATTTTCAAAAGACTAGACATGCATCCAGTGGATTTTATCTATTTTTAGAGTTTTTTACGTAAAAATATTATCTCTTATGGTGATTATTTTACCTAATTAACCATATTTACTGTTTTGCATATTTTAGTTGCTGTCATTATTTTTCTTGGACTTGATTTAACTTGCTCTTAACAGTTTTAAATAGATAAGGGAATATTTTGGTGTTATTTTTATTTCCACTATACTTAGGTGACACCCCCCATTTTTTCCAACAATATAAACAATTAAATACAAAAAATCATTAATTACTTGAAATCACCAATTATAATTCACTATAAATGAGCAAACAGATACGAGAGAAACCACCTTGTTATACGTATGAAGTATCCAAGAAGCAGTCCCATATGAATATTTCAATTTTTAGGGTAGAAATATTAACCCCACGTCCGTCCAACGGCATGCATGTTATTGACAGCCTAAGCAAATATTGCATCCAGCCGTGTTCATCCACCTACGTCCATGCTGCCTTCTTATTTACCAAGTCAAAATCTGATAAAAATCATTAAGGGAACTGTTTGGGCAGCTTCGCAATCCAACACTGTTGAAGTTCTCGGCTGCTTCTACACTTGAAAATCCCGAGGTGGTCTCCTCGGGGAAAACACTCCGACACTCAAGTCAGCAATACTCAATATTCTAGAGAGGGATGCTCTCGAGGAGTAATTGCAGAGAGAGAAGCGTAGAGATTAATTACCTCCATTGTTGGTAGTTGGGGGGTATTTATAGCCCCAAATGTTGACATGCATCCATACATGTAAGTAACTCATTGGCCCACGTGGTGCTGCCCACGTGAGTATGTCTCTTCCTCTTGGGCCTGTGTGTGCATAGTTGGGCTTGTTATATGTGGCCCGAAATGGGCGTTGGGCCTAATCCCAACATTACTCCCCCCTCAGCGTTCGGTTGACGAACTGGATGGAGAGCTTTGTAAGCACGGCGTTTGGCCTCGAGGATGAGGAGTGACGCTTTATGTTTATAAACGACTTCACTCACGGCCGACCTAAGCAGCTTGCAGACATCGTGCCTGGCCAAATGCGCAGGTGTATGCCGACTTTCTGCCGAGCAGGCGTGAGGAGTTGATGTTAAAACTAGTCGAGCTCGGTGCCAATCAGAGGGTCGGGCAGGCGCACAAGGGTGATTTCGCATAATGAATTCTCTGTTGTAGAGCGGAGGCGAGCAGGTAGTGAACGAGCTGAACGCACCGATCCTAGACGGGTAGAGAGTAGCGACCACACTCGCCACTTCAATATAGACCTCTGGGATACAGAGCAGCTTTGAGGAAATTGGTTACAATCTATGAAGAGATCTCCAGAGCAATGCGGGTGAATCCACGATTTGCGCGACCTGACCTCTAGAGGTTTTTCGAATTTGGGATCTCTGAAGAGATCTCTAATTAGTAACGAGCTGATTTCTCGAGATTTTCAAGTTTTGAATTATGGCAGATCTGTGAAGAGATCGCGGATTTGTTACGAGCTGATCTTTTAGACTTTTCAAAATTTGAACTGTGGCGAATCTCTGAGGAGATTTTCCTAAGTCTCGAATTTGTTACGAGCTGATCATTGAAGTTTGTTGCGATCTGATCCTTCTTGATTTTTCAACAATTGTGTCGAATCTCTGAGGAGATTTGCTTAGGGCGTTTGGTATTCTTCTGCTTTTAACAGATACCCTTTTGCCTCCCCACAATAAATGCTGGCTCAGCATTTGAGGGGACGTGACAGTTGCAAACGGCGCGTTTTGGGTTTTTAACCATTAATGGTTGCCACGTGGACACGCTTAACTGGGGGGCCGTAAACACGTGTACGGTGTTTACGGAGTACCATCTGAACGGGCAAAACAAACAAACCGTTTGTCATTTCTTTTCATTTCACTGCAAAGTACATTCATACGTTTTTCAAAGAAGATTGCAGAGATATTCACGGTCATTTTTCCAGATGTCTAGCGAAAGCACTTTAAACTTCAACTACTCAGGTAAAAATGGCTTCTTTCCATGATGCACAAGGATTCCGGGGTAACCAAGGTGAAGAGGAAGATGTTAACGTGATATCCGTGGAGCCTATCGTGATGATAGTGCCGCCGGAGTTGCAAGATTCGCCTAGAACCGCCGCGCTTGAGGGTAATGCCAGTTCGAGTGTAAGTGGTGGTTCTGAGGGCCACCAGCCTTCAACCTCCAGTGATTCGCCCACGGAAGAGACATCTAGTGGGGCAGAGGGCGTTGAGAAGGTTGGTTGCAGTGCACCAGTGACAAGTGCAGCAGCAGAGGTGGTGGTTTTTGAGGGGTGGGAGAGCAAGGTTCTCAGTGGAAGGCTGGATAACCTTCGCAAGGCTCCCAAAACCCTGCTGGTCGGCTTCAAGTTCAGGGCGGTGCTGCATCATGAGGTTGCAGATGGCGCGGCTACGGTGAAGGGGTATAAGAAGCTGGAGGAGATGGTGAGGCGATTCCACATCCCCAGGACCATCTTGATCCGAGCTGGGACACCAAATGAACGGGCGTGTTCAGTGTCGCGGACGGGCTGGGTGCCAGTATACGTAGACCATTTTGACGCCGGTTTACGTTTTCCTCTGCCCGGACTACTTTTTGATGTCCTGGCAGAGTACGAGCTGGCCCTTTCGCAACTTACTCCCAACAGCATAAAGTTCATCATAGGCTTTATGCTGTTGTGCGAAAGGTTAGGGATGCTTGCAAGGGCGGCGGTCTTCAGGTCGCTCTTCTTGTGCTGTTTGTGCCTGTCCATCAGTGGGACGAGGTGGTACTACATCTCGGGCAGGGAGAAGATGATAATATTCACCAACATTAGAAACAAGGTGGCGAGGTGGAAAAGATAGTTCGTGTTCGTGCGGGATACGCGAACTGACAAGATTAACAACGAGCTCGCCGCCCGTCTGTCAGAGTGGCGTACGCCGAACACATACATGAACTATCCCCAGCTGACCAGTGGTGATGTCGACTTGAAGAACCGGCTGCTCGACTATGTGAAGGCGAGGGGGTTGGTGGATTTGGAAACCTTGGTTACCCCGGAGTAGATCGCACTTTATGGATTTGTCGACGTGGCAAATCTACACTCTGAAGGTATATCTTTATATAATAGTATAGTTTCTAGCCGATCTGAGTCTTATGCTTTTGTTTGTGCAGGAGTCATGAGCAGCATCCTTGAGCGTCAACGTTAGCGAGCCCAGGGTTCCCGTGGTCGCAGGCAGCAGAGGCAGACATGGTTTGACGAGCGGCCGCCTGCAGCTCCTGGGCGCGGCTCTCAGCATAGCGGCTTTCATCACAGAAGCTCCAGCTCGTCACAGAGGCCACGTGCCGAGCAGAGGGTTGAGCCTGCGCCCTCCAGCTCCAGAAGGCGTGCGAGGGAAGACTCTGACGCTGACGTGGAGGATAATGTTCCGCTTATCCGGCGCAGGACAAGCACTGGTGCGCAGCCCGCCTTTGCTGATGCTGCGCGACCTGCTAGCGTGCACCAAGTGCCAACTCGCGAGGTTGTTGAGGCCGCACCAACCTCATCGTCTGTAGTGGGGCCGAGAATTGCATACCGGAACGGCTTCAGTTACGCCCGGACTGAGTGTCAGATTGCTATGCTGCAGGGTATGCAGAACTTTGTGCCCCCTGCAGACCGGCTGCGTGCAAAGGGGCATGTTCAGCAGCATGGAGGACATGTTGCGCTAATAAAGCTGATGGATGTAAGTATACTTTGCGAGTTCATTGCTACGTTTTACCCTGTTTTTATTATAAACTGACGAGTGAACATGTATTGCAGGCGTTCAGCTACACTGTCGCACTCTTTGAGTGCGAGCAAGGGGCCAGGGCGCAGAACAACGAGCTGCAACACAACTGCAAGCAGTTGGCATTTGAGAGGGCCAGCTTGGCTGACGAGGTCAGCTGCTTGCAGAGCTCGGAGATGGCCAACCGAGCGGCGTCAGCTGAAAGCCGGGTTGATGAGCTGGCTCGCAAGGTCACTGAGCTGAGGGAGGAGTTGGACAGAGCTCGGGCTGAGAAGGAGAGCGGCATTCAAGCTGTAAAGGATGAGGCCGGCCGTGCAGAGGACCGGGCCAGAAAGGCAGAAGTTGAGAAGGAGAGAACTCTGCACGAGCTGAGTGGCCTGAGGGAGAGGGTCTCACTAGTGGATCAGCACGTGGCTCAGGCTGAGGCGTCCTTGGAGAGGACCAAAAGACTCCACCAGTGCGACGTCTGCTTTGCCCATGCACAGGGGGCTGAGTGGCTGGTGGGGGCAGATATGTTCCAGGACGCCGTAGCAGTGGCTGAAGCCAACACCACTACGGACATTTTCAATGAAGTTCGTGGGAAGGTGTTGGGAGTTCGGGCAGACTTCCCCATTGGCAAGTTAGCCTTCTTCGAGGGCGAGGAGATCGATGCTGACGGGAAGAGCCTCGCCCAGCCAGCTAACACCAGGGTGAAACTGAAGTGGGAGCTCAACAAGGAGGGGCTGCCCGTGTGGCCCCCTTCCGTCGTTGAGGAGGGAAAGGACACGGAGGGGTTGCCAAGCTTCGATGCTTGGGTGGCTGACCCCCATGACGTGCCTGCTGAGCCTTCCAGCACTCCCTCCTCCGCTCAGCCTTAGCCCACACCAGCCGCTGCTCCTGCCCTTTCTCCTGCTCTCCCTCTTCCAGATCGGCCATCTCCTGCTCGGTCTACTACGGAGCCTAACAACGCATCCGTCCCCGTCGACCTAACGGATGACTAACTTAGGGTTTTTTATTCTCTTTTTGTATTTCTTTTTGTATTTTTGTGTTAATCAATGAACTCATTTACCATTTGTCCTACACATGTAAAATGTCATTGATGAAATACAAATTCGAATCTTTCGTTTCCAGATTTCTGTGTATATTGCTGTGAACTGTTCTATACATTGCTCTTTACATTTGATTGAGGATAATTTGAATTAAGACAACAACATCAAAATGTTAACTGTAAAACTTTCTAAGGTTGTGTACGTTCCAGATGAATGGTAATGGACGACCTTGTACATCTGTTAATTGGTAACACCCAGGTCGTTTAATATTAATAACCATATAAGGGCCTTTCCAATTAGGGGCGAGCTTGCCCATGTGCGCATAAGTATTAGTTAATCCAGCTTTGCGCAGAACCAGATTGCTGACCTGAAACTGGCGAGCTCGAACTCTTTTATTATAGAATTTTGCAACGCGACTCTGGTGCGCCATGTTCCTTATTCGAGACATTTCCCTGACTTCCTCCACCAGATCTAGGTTCTCTCTTAGTAGCTGCTCATTATGAGGTCCGTTGTGCCGACCTACTCCTTCAGATGGCAGCTCGACTTCTACTGGGATGACGGCCTCAACTCCATAAGCCAGGCTAAATGGGGTTTCGCCTGTAGCCGAGCTGGACGTGGTGCGACATGACCAAAGCACTTTATTGAGCTCATCAACCCAATTAGACTGTGCAGCTAAAACATGCGTCTTGAGGCCCCGCAAAACAATTTTATTGGCGGACTCGGCCTGTCCGTTTGACTGTGGAGTATATACAGACGTCAAGGAGAGCTCAATGCCATAGTCGTTACAGAACGACCTCAGCGCTGCTGCTCGGAACTGTGGCCCATTGTCAGCGATAATACGCTTGGTTATGCCGAACCTGCACACAGATGGCCGAGCTGAGCTACCAATTATGTTTGCATATAATGTATCAATGACTTAAGTCACCGAAGAATACCTGCACAATATTGAATTGAACAAGAATTCTTCTATTTTCTTTTCTGTTGTCGTGGACAATGGTTTTGCTTCTATCCACTCGGTGAAGTAATCCACCGCGACAACAAGGTAAGTGCATCCTCCTTTGCCTTTCACAAAAGGGCCGAGCAGGTCGACTCCCCATTGAGCAAAAGGCCAAGGAGATGAGAGTGATGAGAGCATTTCCCCTGTTTCCACGAAGGTACTTATGCTTAGTTTATAAATAAACATGAAGTTTGAGCGAACTTTAGGACGAGCTTAAATACCTGGCATGTGAATATCATCTGCGTTGAACTGGCAGGTCAAGCACTTTTTGACATAGTTCTGTGCGTCCTCAACCATTGTTGGCCAGTAATATCTATGCCTTAGGAGTTTCTGAGCTAAATTTCTACCGTCTATATGTGTGCCACATGCTCCTTCATGAACCTCCCTCACAGCATATTCAGCTTCATAAGGAGTGAGGCAGCGTAATAGGGGCATAGAGGCTGCTCGTTTGTAGAGCTGATTTTCTAACAGAGTAAAATGAGCCACCCTGCGCTTAATCAATCTTACAGTGGATGGATCTTCGGGTAGCTCGCCATTTTGCAGATAGCTTATGAGCGGGGTGGTCCAGCTCGGTGAAGAGGGGTCTGTGCTTAGCAGCTGACACTCAACTGTGAAGTCAATGTAGCTTGGTGTGTCGAGTACCTCGATAATTGTCGATCTGTGAGGGTTAAGGTCCTGCGAGGAGGCCAACTTCGACAGCTCGTCAGCTCGGTGGTTGTCTGCTCTTGGTATTTTATCAATTTGGAAAATGACAAATACTGATTTCAATCTGTTGACCACAGAGGCATAACGACCGAGCTGGGGATCCCTGATTTCACAACTGCCATTCACCTGGCCCACAACGAGCTGAGAGTCGCTGAAAACCTGACTGCTTTGTACCTTCAGCTCGGACGCCAGTTTCAGTCCGTAAATGAGGGCTTCATATTCTGCAGCGTTATTAGTCGTCTGAAACTTAAACCTCAGTGTGTGCTCAGACTTAAAACCATCTGGGCTCACTAACACAGCCCCAGCACCCGACCCTTCAATGTTAGCCGCTCCATCAACATACAAAACCCAAGCTGGGTGTTCGGGTGTTTTTTCTTCCTTAGCTGCTGAGATGCATTCCACCAGAAAGTCTGCAACGGCCTGGCCTTTTATGGTTGTGCACTGCTGAAATTTGAGGTCATATTCACTCAGCTCAACGCTTTACCCAATAAGCCGACCAGAGAGTTCAGGTTTCTGTAGTATTTTTCTCAATGGCAAGTCGGTATAGACAACAATCTGACGTGATTGGAAGTAAGCCCTCAACTTGCGAGCTGTGTAAACCAGGGCAAAGGCAGCCTTTTCTGCTAATGGGTAGTTCTGCTCTGCAGCTTGCAAAACCTTGCTTACGTAGCAGATAGGCTTCTGATTCTTATTCTCTTCCCTGAGCAGGACCGAGCTCACTGCCTCTCTTGTAACCCCCATGTATAAGTATAAACTCTCCCCCTCTACAGGCTTGGACAGCAGGGGTGCTGATGCCAGATATTGTTTGAGCTCGTCAAACGCCTTCTGACACTCATCAGTCCATTGAAAGTTCTTAGGCTCTTGCAGGGCCTTGAAGAAGGGGAGGCATTTTTTCGCCGACCTGGCTATGAAGCTATGTAGCGCAGCTACACGGCCCGTCAATTGCTGTACATCCTTGACAGTCTTGGGTGGCTCCATCTGCTGAACGGCTTGAACGTTCTCCGAATTTACTTCAATTCCTTTCTTGGATACCACGTACCCTAGGAATTTTCTTGACTCTACAGCAAATGTGCATTTGAGGGGATTTAGCTTCATTTGAGCTCGGCGCAAGTTTTGAAAGGTCTCACTCAGGTCGCCTATGTGATCTTCAGCTCGTACACTGGTGACTATCATGTCATCCACATATACTTCTATGTTTCTGCCGATCTGGAGCTTAAAAACTATTTGCACCAGTTTCTGATATGTTGCACCAACGTTCTTCAAGCCAAATGGCATTATCACATAGCAGTAGATTGCGTCACCGGCGTAAAAAGTTGTTTTCTCCTGGTCGTCTAACAACAGTTGGACCTGATGATAACCCGAACTGGCATCAAGAAAGCTCATCCGTTCGTGTCCTGCTGCTCGTTCTACTAACTTCTCGACATTCGGCAGAGGATGAGGGTCTTTTGGACACGCGTCATTGAGGTTGGTGAAATCAATGCACATCCTCCACTTGCCATTTGGCTTTTTGACGAGCACAGTGTTGGACACCCATTGAGAGTACTCCACTCTTCTGATGAAGCCCGCCTGTAACAGCTTCTGTATCTCTTCATCTATGGCGACTTGCTTCTCAGGGCCAAAAAGGCGACGTTTTTGAACCACTGGCCTTCTGGTAGGGTCCGTGCTGAGTTTGTGGACTGTCAACTCCGTTGGAATGCCAGGCATTTCATCCGTAGTCCATGCAAACACATCCTGATTAATCCTCAAAAACTCCAGAAGCTCTGCTCGTTCTTCCTTTGTGAGCTTGGTACCGATCTTGACTGTTCTTTCCAGCACATCAGGGTTTAAAGGAACTGTTTCTACCGACTCTACCGGCTCTACTTTCTGCTCGACACCCTCAGGTCTATGCTCGATGTCCGATATGCTCATTGTCTCCTGACCCGACTGATTCGGTCTACTACTTTCAGAGCCTCTCGGGGCTACAACGAGCTCAACCTTCTTAAATGTATCTTGATAACATGCCCTAGCCATCTTCTGATTCCCCCTTAGCACCCCTACCTCCTGAGGCGTTGGGAATTTCATGCAGAGATGGGGCTGTGAAATAACAGCCTTCAGCTCGCACAGAGTAGCCCTTCCTAATATGGCGTTGAAGGTTGACTCCATTTTGACGACCAGGAAGCTGACTGAGGCCATCTTGAAGCGTGGTTCCGAGCCCACATAGATGGGTAGAGTTATGACCCCTTCCACCGGGACGGGCTGGTTATCGAACCCGTAGATGGGTCCTTCATATTTCTGCAGTGAGCTTGGGTTCAACTGCATCTTCTGGAAGCAGCTCTAGTAAAGGATATTTGGCGAGCTACCTGTATCAATAAAGACCTTGTTGACGTTATGATTACCTATATGGACCGTTGCGACAAATGGATCTGCGTGAGGCATCATAACGTTGGGATCGCCGTCTGCTCGCTTATAATCTGCCGGGCTGAATGTGATAGCTGCATTCTCCCACTCTGCCTCCTTGAACGGCCGCTTCAAGGACCTGTTTTTGTTGACTGTCATCACCTGGCAGGCATATGCCTTGCGGGCTCGGGCACTCTGGCCCCCTGAGTGCATACCACCAAAGATCATATTGATTGTGCCAGATTGAGGGGGTATTCCTCCATACCCAACCCCTCTGTGGTCCTTTGGATTCTGTGCAGGTGCTTTCTGTCCTTGCCCACGCCTATTTAACGGGCGTTCCCTGTATGCTCTGTTCGGCTCAGATGAGTACGGACCTGCCTGGTAAGAATTTGGATTGCCACCGAGCTGATAACCAGGTGTTTGAGATCGGCCGTACTCTTGTACAAACTGGGTTTGGGTGGGTTGCCGAACAAAAGGCTTCTGCACATACCCCTCCAATTTTCCATTGCGAGCCAAGAATTCAAGCTCGTCTTTCAGACTCTCACAGTCTTCTGTGTTATGGCCGTAGACACGGTGATAGTCGCAGTATTTGCTTCTATCAGCTCGTGAAGAATCATGCGTTTGCGGAGGGGGTCTCTTGACCCAATGTTGTATTTGCGCCAATATCTGGGATCGTGACGAGCTCAGGGGGATGTAGCTGTCATATTTTGGATAGGAAGGTGGCTTCCCTCTCTGCTTGCCAACCTTCTGTTTCTTCTTGTCATCTTTGTTTTCAGGCTGCTTGGGTTCTTTCCCTTGCCTGTCATCAGCTCGTCTCTTAGAAGATTGCAAATCTTTTGATAATATGAAGCTTGCCGACTTGTCATTTACTTCATTCCACGATTTGGGTGGATTCTCCAACAGGTCGTCCAAAAACCGGCTAGGCTTCAGACCATGCAACAGGGCAGATAAGCAAATGGTATCGGGGACGTTATCAATGTCCAAAGTAGCTTTGTTAAATCGTTGCATGTAGTCCCTCAAAGATTCTCCCTCTTTCTGATGAACCTGCATTAGTTCGGTCGCTGTACGTTTAATCTCCCTTTGGCTCGCAAATTTGTTGGAGAATAGCTTGGCGAGCTGGGAATATGAGTCTATGGAATGTCTGGGGAGTTTGTGATACCATCTCCTGGCTGTCGACTTGAGTGTTGCTGTGAACACTTTGCACATCATGGCATCATTGGCATTCTGGATTCTCATGATGGCTTAATAAGTGTGCAGATGTTCATCAGGGTCGCCCGAGCCATCATATGTCTCCAGGTGGGGAATTTTGAATCCCTTTTGATAAGGCTCTGCTGTGATAGATAGGTTTAAAGGAGCACTATCCAAATCGAGAGTCTGCTGGTGCGATCTGGGGCTTTTCAGCTCGTCTATAGATTTCTGCACGTCCCTTAGCTGCCTTTCCAGATCTGCATTTTTCCTCATCAGCTCTTCACTATGTTTGGACGAGCTGGGCTCGTTATTTAGCTTCCCACTTCCCCTTGGCTTGGTTGGCACTACTATGTTGCTTAGAGCGGGGGAGTTTCGAGTTGCCACAACCGTAGCTGGTGGTGTATCCCTGTTCAACAAGGGAATTAGGGGGTTGTCAAGGATCAGGGGGGCAAGGATTTTACCCATTGCCATTTCGAGAATTCTGGTTCTCTCTTCGAGCTCGGTTGCCCGAGCAGGTTCTGTTGACCTTTCAGGTCGTTCATGCTGTGAATTGTATGGTCTAGAAGGTTTTGGTCTTGTTCCTGTTGGAGCTTGGAACTGTTCAGGCTGGGTTGCATACCCCGTTGGTGTTCTTTCATCATCATCATCTGTTTCGCTTAGGTGATCCTGTTCTGCTCCCCCGACGAAGAGGTTTCTTGGCATTGGCCTAAAGTCATTCAAGCCGGGCTCAGATACTTGAGCGTCCTCCTGCTCGTCCATTTCGTTTCTTGGAGGACAACCTCCTGTAAAGGTATGGACCATCTTGTTTCTTAGCTGGTTAAGTCACACAACTTCTTGTTCGCTTCCCACAGACGGCGCCAAATGTTTGGACAGCTTCGCAATCCAACACTGTTGAAGTCCTCGGCTGCTTCTACACCTGAAAATCTCGAGGTGGTCTCCTCGGGGAAAACACTCCGACGCTCAAGTCAGCAATACTCAATATTCTAGAGAGGGATGCTCTCGATGAGTAATTACAGAGAGAGAAGCGTAGAGATTAATTACCTCCATTGTTGGTAGTTGGGGGGTATTTATAACCCCAAATACTGACATGCATCCATACATGTAAGTAACTCATTGGCCCACGTGGTGCTACCCACGTGGGTATGTCTCTTCCTTTTGAGCCTGTGTGTGCATAGTTGGGCCTGTTATATGTGGCCCGAAATGAGCGTTGGGCCTAATCCCAAACCTATGAAAAAACTCCCAAGAGGGGGAGAAAACTCCTCAGCAAATGAGAATAATCCCACATTTACTCATCTATCCTAACTAAGTTGGTGAGACATTGAATGACCCATTATTGTGTGTTGACACTATATTATAATTAAAAAA